CCCCCTGCATTTTCCAAAAAGGAATATGAAAAGTTGTTGCCCTTAGAACACAGGGTGTCACACACACACACACACACACAATCCGCACCCCACTACCCCTCCCCTCCCTCAACCCTCAGCCCCCCACGCGCAGTAGATCTTGCCATCTTGCGCCTTCACCAGTCCAGTGCTCCAGAGTCCGAGGCTGAAGTGGCCAACTCGGCGAAAGCTTAGCTAAAGCTTAAGCCGTGTGGCCAAAACACCCCCGCGCCACTTCCAGCGCGCAGTGCCCACCTCGCTCAACTGTCAATGTACAACGAAAAGCTTCCAAGCGCAGGCTCGCAGGGCTCGCTTCCCAGCAATTCAAGTGCAAATCGTGTTTTCGCCTCTCCGAACAGCAGCAGATCCTGAGAAGAAGCGAAGGCCCATAAGGCCTCCATCAAACCATTTCCAAGAATTCTTTTGGCTCGCCTGCGACTCCGGGCGGATGCACAGCACCTCCCCGCAAGGCGTCACAAAACCCACAAAACAGCGAAAGCTGCAGAGGTTGAGGTCTACAGGAACTCACACCATGTTGTGCATCTTACGCGTGCCATGCTACCACAAGGCCAAGCCACTTCCCCTTTTTGTCGTTGGTTTACGGGATACACCTTGAAAAGTGTCGCCCTCACAATCCCGTTTCCGTTGCCCGCTCTGCCAAAGTCTTCCAAGGATCCAGGATCGTTTGAGCACTTCTCAGACCAACAAAGCTCAGCCTGTCAGGCTGTCAATGAGTCAAGCATGTGCGCTGTGTGCATGCTGATGTTGTTAATTCGTGGGAAAACCAGGGAGGCACAATATTTGAAAGTCATGCCGTGTTCATGACACAAGTGCAGCGACGATGCCCAACCAAAAACATCTGAGATCTAAGTTCGTAGGATTGAAACCTTACATGTCTTATGGCAAAAGTCTGCCATCATGATTAAGCGTGACGCGAAACAACCGTGAACTCTCAAGGAAATGGGCAAATACGTAAAGATCGTTCAGTTGTGGTCGCCTTGCTTTTACATGTTCAGATTTCCCACGTTGATTCCACTGACTACAAAAGTGCGCTGTGTCAGTGCTGATGTTCTTACTTGGTGGGCAAGCCAGGGACGGACTCCACGTGGCCACGGTGGTAACCTTTTTTTGGACGATGCAAAGCTGCCATAGCCATGTAAGACATGAGACAGACATTTTCGGTATGCAAACTCACCCTGCAGAGCCAAGCACCAATGGCAACTCGAGTAGACATCTGCTGTTGCGAAGACTATCGCCGTGGGAATGTTCATGTTTGCCTGACGCGAACTATCGCGCACACCATAAAAGCTGACGCGGCCAGTCATGACTTTCATGTTTATGCACAACTCCATACGGAGGGGGGTGTTGGCCGCTGCTCAACTCAGTACATTCCTTATACACCTGTCTAGTCGTAGCGGTCGATGTAGATCATTTCCTGGATCATGGCGGCATTGATGTCAAGGTCCTTCTCTTTGCTGAGGCTTCTGCTTTTCTCAACTTCTTCTGCCTTTGCCTTTTGCTTCATTAGATCTTGCCATTGGGCCTGTGGCAAACTTCCTTGTCATTTGTAGCCTGCCAGAACCTCTCCGTTCTTTTTTCCCCTTTTTTCTCATCCTTTGCCTTCGTCTCTTCCTTCTTCCTCTCTTCACGTTGCTCCTCAATCTCTTCCCCACTATGAAAGGCTTTGCTAACATGTTCTTGACTGCTTCCTTCCCTCCTCAATGGCTTCATGCTCTCTCTCAAGTGCTCTCTGCTGCTTTCTTCAGTTCTTCCCGATCTGGTTGAGCTCTGACTCAAGCCTGGTACTTGAAAAACATGTGTGACAGCATTGTCATGCGGTGGTTCTCCCTGCAGTGGATCTGCTGATCCTGAGCGTTCTCCTCTCTTCTCTCAGACCAGCCGTGGGGCAAAAGCCTTTTCTGTTTCCGTTCTCGTTTCGGAGGCATAGAAGCTCCCAAGCTCCCTCTGGATCGAATTGAGCCCCTTCAAAGCTTGCTTTGAATGAAAAAGACTGATCGAGTTTTTACGGCCAAACTGAAGCTGATCTCTTGGAGGCCAGGGCTCTTGCGTCCTGGTTATTTGCCTTCTGTTCCATCTACGGGTCTGTGGTCTACGCCTTGGAACGCCAGGGATTATCAGCGTTTGGGGAACACACAGTGTAATTGGTGTTGAATAGACGCCCATTCTCCAAACACACCTCCATGCCATGTCCAAATCAAGAAGTATGCCGGAGAAGCTTTGTCATCGCCGGTGGCTCAAGGCAACAAGGGAAAAGGGTACAGTAACTCGTTCTTTTGCGTTGAGGGGTGCCACTGTCGTCGGTAATGTGGCGACACCAAAGTTGAATTCTGAATTCCCAAAACTCCCTGACGACGAAGGCCAACGCAAACAGAGATCAAACAGTCCTGTGCGAGCCTGCAACAGGCTACGCAAAGCCAAAGCTATCTCAATTTTACACACTGCGCCACTCTGTGCCTGCCCACCTCCTGGTTGCAAATATACGTCCTTCTTGTTAAAGATTGCTGGTAATTTGGACGTCTTCATTCAAATTTGAGTCATCTGGTTGTAAGTTCCCTAAATCAAATATTCGGCAGAGCGATGGGTAGCGTAGTGGAGGCCCCTGATGTAGATAAAACCAAGAATCACTATCCGCTATGCTACAAGCAGCTTTCGTGACAGTTTCCAGACATGGCATCTGCCCACCTCGCTGGCACAGTCTGGCACGCCGTAAATGCACCCATCAGCTGCCTGCAGGAAGCGGTCTTTGAATCGTAGAACTGCTTCGCGGCCAGCTTTCTTTGCAGAGCCGTTTAGAACATTTTAGCGTGTTTAGGAGTGCATCTTTCCCTGGCCCTTTGGCTCCGAGCGTCTCCTTTAAGAAGCCTTTCCCTTTTCTTGCCTCGGTCAGGGTGGCACAGGCCAAGCTGATAAGCTTGGCCCTGTGCAAAGGCAAATGTCCTTTCCACTTCATCTCTGCCCGGCCTCATTTGGCAGCTAAGAGCAAGTCACCAGCTCAAGTTTGGCACCAGCCATGGCCTTTAGGATGGGTCTGCAAACATCAACGCTGGAGGTCCGCCGCCAAGACTGCCGAAAGCAAGACTTCTGACTGACCCCATGAAGCCAGCTGGCGTTGCGACTGGCAATTGGCAAGATCGTCCAGCATCTCGTGGCTCACCCCAACTGCTAGGAAGTGGTGCAGGTCTCTTTCGAACGGGCATGGACCCGTTCGCTCTTCGTCACGTGACTTTTTTGCTCACCCTGGACCTGCTGCGAGCTGCCACGATGTTCGCATCACCCACATCTGTCAGGCCATGGGGGGGGCTGGATTTTACACTGTTACAGCAGCTGAAGTTCAGCTCAAGCCCCGCTTCCTGCAAGAACATGACTCTGTGCTGTGCTGCTGCGCTCTACTGCGGTGCCGTTCGCTTGGACTCCCCGCCAAGACGGCGCTGCGCCACTTGCAGCCTCCACGCTCGGCTTGCTTTGCTTGCCTTGCTAGGCTTGCGCTTGGCGTCTGTGGCTGCGGCGTATTCCTCCCACCCAGCCTGGCAGACAAGTCACGTCGCTTTTAGTTGGATGACTTGCAAGTTACCTGAACATTTCTGCTTCCGAGGTGCCCAGCTTGTAAAAGCCAGCCGGCCAACCCGGCGAAGGCGAGCTATCGGGTGCAACGTCTTTCACGTCCGGATCCTTCTGCCAGGAAACTCTCGCACGTTAGCAGCGGCTGAGTGTTGTCATTACTCTGTGGCAGCCCCAACAATCAACATGACCAACTTGATCAGGTTGAACCCTATGTGGACATACCTGATTTACGGTTTAGGGCTTAGGTTGCTGCTTGGGATACCGCTTCACCAAGCAGCTAAACACACAGTGTGTGCGTGGAAGCCGACAAACATCGCTCAGGCCCGATGTGCGATTACCGCGCAAGACTGAGAGATTAGGGTTGGGATAGGGAACTTGCTATTCGGAAGCAAGATAGCCAATTACTGGCCCACGCAAAAAGCGCAAAATAATGACTTTCATTAGACGTTCGGGATCTGTTTCGTAGTAGGGGGGGTGAGGGCGTCGGGATCCCCAAAGGCAGGCTCCACCTAATTACCCAGTATTTGTCCCAAAAGATGCGTCCCATACTTAACAACTACTGTAGGTGCTTGGCGTTTAGTAGAGGTTTTGGGTAAGAACATGGCTCCTCCTGTTCAAAACAAGGCCCGGATAAGGACCGATTAAGGAAGCGCCTGCCTGACAAAGTAAGCGCTAAATTAACGCTTATTTTGCAAACCCACTTTTCTTTAGCTTATTTCACCCTTATTTGTTTAGGGGGGGGTGCGCGGGGGGATGGGCGCGGGATCTCATGATGGCAGGGCAAGGGCAGAGGAAGATTCAGCCCATGGTGGTCAGAGATCGGACTCAGTTCGCTGAAGCGACACCGCCTCAAGTCAGAGCGCACCAAACTGGGAGGCGCAGCCAAGGCCTTGGACTGGGCGTGTGCATGCGTGTGCATGCGTGTGCGTGTTCGGCCGAGCCAAAAAACCGCCTTTTCGGTGCTCCACCCTAGTTACCCGAAAGTTCTTCAAAAGTGTAGCCAGCGAGCACGCCTGCTGCACAGCAAAGGTGTGATGCAAAGCAGGGTTCACCAGAACCACGAACACAAGTCCAAAATCCCGTTAGCAGACTTGTGCCTAATGGAACTGCATGGACCTTCTTTTGGGTCGCATACGGTGCCACTGCTGGTGCCACTGCCACAGGCCTGCAGCCCCTGCAGCACGGCTCAGTCTTCGAGGTGTCCTCCGTCCTCGTCCTCGTGGTCATCTGCGTCTACGCCATAGCGCGCGATGGCCCTCGCTGTGGCTTGTGCTTCGCCCAGGCTCGACAGAACCTACGGCAGTAGGAGCCCGTTGGAGCCTATTTCCTCATAGCTTCCAAAAACAGCCTCGGGAGCCATCTCTGGAGGCTTCATTTCAACCTGCGGCGCCCAGGCTCAACTGTTCTGTTCTGTTACCCGCTGTGACTCTTTGGTGCTATCCGGGGCGCCTTTGAGGGTTCGACCACCAAGACTTCCAGCGCGTTGTACGGGATCTGACGCGGTGCAAAGATGTGTAAAGCCCTTAGAGAATGTAGAGAACTCGTCAGTGGCGCACCATGTAGATGAGGTTCTTGGCAGCCACGGCTCCACGCCTGGTAGGACCCATGTGACAGAGTGAAGCCAGGCCGCGGAGCGGATTTCTCGGGCGCCGGCCACTTTCGGCGCAGCGGGCCCAAGTTCCCCAGCAGAGTGGCGGTAGGTGCCGGTCCGGGCACAATGCACAGAACGCTTGGGGAGTCGTAGGGAGCGCCTGCAAGCCGCGCTGCCGCATAAGCATGGCACATGGCGTAGGAACAAAGCGCTTCTGAGGGCACAGTAGATCCGCCCATCGCTGCCCAGTGCGGCACCTTTCAAGGAGAACCCTCAGAGCCTCTCAGAGTCTCAGAGCAGTCTGTTTGCATCTGACTCAGCACGCGCAGCGCCTGCCCACTTGCTCTCGCCAGGGGGCAGATCTCCAAAGCCTGGGCAAGTGGCTCAGAAGCATGCGCAACCTAAGTCAGACAATTGCCGCTGCGAAAAGAGGACTCTGTCAGGGCATCAACCTTGCAGGGCACCGACGTAGGTAATCACCTCCCCCTAATTAATATTTACACACAGAGGACTATGTCATAGCTGTCACTGCAGTGTGGAGTCAGCATAAAACTAACCCCCCTGCAAAGTGCAGAGAAGGCTCGGCTCTCAGACACTTCAGACATGAGCTTTCCAGATTTAGCAGACCCTCTTTGCCCTCATCCTCAAATCTTTGCTACGCATCGAGCTTCTCTGACACCTAAGGCATCAAGTTTCATTCTAGGTTGCTGGCAGGTCGCACGACCTCCCACTACATCAATGCGGAGCACCGCCTGAAAAGGCTTGGATTTCCTGGGTGGATGTCTGTGCTTGTTCAACCTCGGCGGTCCAGGGGACGCAGTAGATGCAGCCATCGGGAGCCAGCAAGCAGTCTCTCCTTGAAGGAGCAAGTCTCTTTCAAGAGGCAGAAGGGCACACAAAAGGAGCCTAAAGCACTAAATCAAACAGCTTGAAATTTTCGCAGGCTCCACTTGTGCTCGGAAAGGGAGGCTGCGGTGCAGCCCGTTCCCTCAGAGGTCTCCAGAAAGAAAACGCTGGCAGAGCCACAGTCGATCACCAGCACCTCAAAATCATCTACTACATTTGCTACATACATTGCTGCTATACATTCTTCTTCTGAGGCCTGTGGATGTGTCCACGGCACGCAGTAAATCCTGCCATCTCCTGCAAGGACGCCGCCAGACCACCTGAAAAGAGAAGTGCATCTCTGACGGCCAAACCAAGTTCTGCAACCAATATTTCAACCAAGCTTCTTGTGAGTGCCGACCTTATGCAGCTTAAATCGACGTCTTGCCCTTCCAGCTGCCGGCTGAGACCCCTCTAGGAGCATGTGGTGTCTGAAAGCCTCTGCATTGGGCTCAGCGACGTACTATGCAAAAACCACAATTTCCAGCCCTGCACACGTTCTAGGCCAAGCGACAGGGTCCTGCCCTATAAGGGCTACAGTAACAGCCCCAAGACTCCCTCTATCACCGCTTATTTAGGCCACACTTGCCCCCTCTCCCCGCATGACTTTTTCGGAACTGTTTATTGAGGACCCCGCGCAGACAGGTACGGTATGTACCGTACCTATAAAGTGCATTGCTGTTACATGTTGATCTGAAAGACACAAGTCTCAGTGCAGAACTGTTTCAGGTTAACTGCTGGCCTCGGACCCTCAGCCTGTGAACATGGCAGAGATACAAAGCGAACATTTCTCGTCTGGGAGAGCAAGCAACGTTGCCAGCTAGACAGGCAGAGTGGCGCATGCGGCACGCAGGAACCCAAATCACACTCACCGCGTGTGTGTCAGGATTGCTTCCGGCTGGTCTCGCTAAATGGGCTGGGGGTTGGGGCTCTTGTATTTTGACCCACATTGCTGTCAGCCAGAAAACGAGGGCGGGGTGGGGGGGTCTTGCTGTGAGGGGCTCTGCGGCCAACTTGCGTTACCGGCTTGGCTGTCAACATCTTCTGGTATCAAAGTTGAGTCTTCACCCCCCGACCCCCTGAAAAAACTGAAGAGATGCCAACGATGTTGGTGTGCACACATGCCCTGCCACAATCCAATTTTCCCTCACGTTGTTCTCAGCATGCACCTACGCAGATTTCTTAGAGATGTGCCATCCCTACAAATGCTGCCAATGCCTCGACGGACACTCAGGCAAATTAAAAAGCAGATCGGAAATGCACAAGCGACAAGCGATGTGTTCATGGCGCGTTGGGGACAGATGCTGGGAGGGTGACTTGTTCTTTGCCCAATCCTGCTGAAGCGGCCGCTGCTGCAATCTCGTGGCATCTCGTGGCGCATGTGCAAGCTGCGGCTGTGATAAGCAAGACACAAAGATGAGTCAGCAGTGAATTCCATGCGGAGAGACATTTGCAAGAAAATTGGACAGGAAGATCTTGCGGCAAACAATTGAGGCAGGCCGCGTCAATCAGATCTGAACCAAAGCGGGATGTCAGCCGTGTGCGGGGATCATAGCAGAGCACCTGAAGCGGACAGCACAACACCATTGAAATACCCCCCCACTTGGGAGCCGACCTCCGTTGCCGTGTCCGGAACGCCTTAGCCAGGAAGTGCTTGACGACTCGGTGGTGCCATGATGCGCCATGCAGTGCGCAACTTGCTGAGAGACACGCAGTAAATCTTCCCATCTGGACCAGATACGCCCACTGACCAGTCCATCAGGCATCCTTCTCTAGTGCCGGCAGGCCCGCTACATCTGAGCCCATCTTGCTGCTGCGAGGGGCTGCTTGGCTTAGGGTTGAAATATCTTGAAAAATCTTTCTCCGGCACTACAGCAGTCCGGCTGTTCTGGGGTGACACTTCGAGAGAGCCGCTGGGTTAGTAGAGCTGTCAGTAGCTGGGGCGGATTGCGTGCACCCGAATGCGGCTTGGAGCGATGTTGGTTGCCTCCGCCGCAGCTCGGACAAAAAGGTGCTTGAAGGCCTCGTGGTCGTCCGGGAGGGAACCAAAAGGAAGCTCGATGTAAAGGCTGGCTTTGGAGCTACCTGAAGGCCTCGAAAAGCCTTGCAGAGGCGAGCCTTGAAGAGGAAGAGGCAGCTGTGTTTGCTGTGTGTTCTGGCCCTTCTGGCTTTGGCTTCCTTTAATCTCTGTTTGGCTTTGGCTGTCGAAGAAAGGTGCATCCGCTTCTCCACCCGGCTGTGCCAAGACCTTGGCTGCTCAACATGTTTTCCCATCAGGGCGAGCGGGTGAGAATGCAGACTACTGTAGCTGCTGTTACTATGCCACAAAAGGTGTGTTCTGAGGCTACGCCGCCCAGGCACCTGTGGAGTTGCCACATTAGCTGTTGGAGGTATAGCCACACTCTGGTTGCTTGTTCGGTCCTGCACATCAAAGGCTAATCAAAACACAAGACCTTCTTGTTTTTGCTTGCCTGTCTGCTCCAAGAAAGGCTCCTGGCCGCTGGGGCCGCTGAGGCCGGGCCCACTGGGTGGACTCTGTCCAAAGGCTGCCTGGAAGGAGCTCTCGCGCCCCCACGACTCGAAACCAGATGCCGTATTTGCCGCCGCGTTCGTCCCCCAAGCACCAAGGGCGCCAAAGTCAGTAGCAGCAAATGCTTCGCCCGAATCTGGCCAAGCGCTTTGCGTGAAAGAATCCGAAACAGCGGAAGGGAAACCAGTCTCTGCGACTTCCCTTCCGTCCCGGCCTTCCCGGCCTCCGCCCTCTCTCTCTTTGTCCTTATCTTTCACCTCCTTGCGTTTCTTCTTCTTTTCCTTCTCTGACAGGCTTCCCAAACGCCAGACATCATCGCTGGAAGGCGCCTGCGAAGCCTGCGAATCTAAGGGAACGGGAACAAGACCCGGTGCCGCGGGACTCCAAGCTTCTGCTTGATGGTTTGGAGGCGCTCTTTCTGACACCGAGGGCGCCGACGAAGGGCCCTGAGCTCCTTGCGAGCTTCGGCTCACGCTTTCTGCGCGAGCCGCCCACTGGTCCTTCACCCGTTCCATGCGTTCAAGCAGCGCCGCAATTTGGTTGAATGTGGCTTCCCCGCCATCCTTGACTTGAAGCACAATACCCATCCAAACCCAATGAAGTTCTTGCTCGTGCTGATGCCCAAGTTGCTCGATCCAGGATCTCGGGCACAGCTTCTTGCAGCCGGTCGCGGAGCTCCTGCAAAAACTGACAAGTTTTCTTGCAAGTTTGCAGATTCGAAGTTTTCGTGACAGAATTGGCACAAAAGGTTTGGCCAGGCATTGGGACCCAGAATGGGGGCACGCTCCACGCAGGGGCATGATTCGCAGGGAAAATCCAAAGATTCTCCACGGGAGAGCTCGATTCCCAAGAAAAAAGTGAAGACGCCCGACGCGACAGCTCGTCGTATGGTGTCCAAATGAACGCACCACACAAGAGCGCAAGCTTGTGCCGGCCTGCAGTTTCAAGTGCTCGAAGCTTCTTGAGAATCACAAATATGGTAATCCAGTGTTCCTTGTCTCATTACGAAAATTCATGCAAACTGATGCACAAAAGATAAAGGCTTAAGAAAACTTACGAATAGTGCTGAAACATGCTTTTCAGAAAGTGCAGAGCTCTTTTGCGGTCACTGTGTCTCATGTCTTTGCGCCCGGTCATAGCAATCTATTGCCATTGATCTTCAAGGAAGATGCTCGGATATGCTGGCATGAAAAGGGAAAGCAATCGAAAGGAAAAGGCTCCTTTGGCAAGCTTGAGACAACTCCCACATCAAAAGCATCACGATGCATTCGCTCAGCATTCCTGCACAAGCACTCCCATGCTTCTCAAAAAGTGCAAAGCACTTTTGCGCAGTGTCTCATGTCCTTGTGCTCGGTCATAACGATCCATTGTCCTTGATCTTCCGTATCATCCCCAAACCATCCACGAGGATAGAGGCGGATGTTGACCAGCGAACATGTGGGTGGACGCTGCCAAATCTGAAAACATTGGAATGGCCCAGCCTCCACCACTTCCATTTCCTGGCCCACCTTTCCAGAGGAGGCGAAGATGCAACATCTTGTGCACCATTTGCCAGGTGAATGTGTGTGGCAGAAAGGACAAGCCCTGGAAGCAGTATCCGCACGAAAACCATGAGTGTAGAGTTTGCCACAGAGCCTGAGTTTTTTGCATGCTTTTAATTTGGCTGCCCATGTGTGTGTGTGCAACACACCCACACTGAATGACAAAACTGGACCAGGCAAGAAAGAAAAACGTGTACGTACAGTTTGCCTTGTTGCATCCTCTTGTGCACCATGGCTGCATGCATTTTTTTAATTAATTGTTCTTGCCTGCTCGCAGGCCTACCACAGCCAGGATCAGAATGGTAAGCATGACCTGATCATGAAGTACCAGGAAAAGGGTGGAATTCGCAACCTGGGCTGGGTGGCGACTTACTTGGAGTCCAGCGAGACCCTCAACCAGGAGAAGGCCACCAACAAGAAGGGCTTCATGACCAGGGATGCCATTTTGAGTTTGAATGGCTTCAGTGTTGGCATGAACCTCAAGGAGAATAGGGCAGACGCAGTCCTGCAGGATCTTGAAGAAGTGCTGCAGCCCTGCCTGCTTCAGGTCAGTTGCCTGCTGGAAAATGGTCCTCTTGCCAGTGGTGACCTCATCCTGCACCTCGCTGTGGATGTAGTAGTAGGTGGAGAGTTCGGGGGGCACATCTTCGTCCTTCGGGATCAGAAGATGCTGGAGGAAGGGTCTATGGGCCAGGTCGAGATTAAGATCGAGAACCCCGAGAAGGTGGAGGCGAAGAACCAGGCCAAGGTCCTGAAGTCTGGCAAGGACAGACTTGAGAAGGAGATTGGTCTCCTCAAGGACTGCTCTGCCATGGGGGGGAGCTCCAAAAAATGAGCCTGAGCTGGAGAAGATTGTCAGTGAGGGGCGCAGACCTTTGCGGAGGTAGTTCGCAAGAAGCTGTCCATTGTCGGTGGCATGGACAAGGACACCCATGATGGTGAGGACTGGCAGAAGATGCTGGATGACCTCAAGCAGCACTGTGCTTTCGCCACAGTTCATTTGGAGGGGATGAGGTCCTTTCGTGTGCGCCTGAGTGCTCTTGTTCAGGTGTGAGTCCTGCAGGGTAAGCTTGCTGGCTCTTGTGCTTTTCCAAAGATCGAGTTCGAATGACTTCGCTCCGCCTGGGAGGTCAAAAAAGAGTGTCTGTGCATTGCAATTCCCTGCAAGCTTATCTCAGCATTTCCACCTTGCAGCATCCAAGGCAGGCATGTGTGCGCAGCTGCTAAAGCTTTACTCGCCTAGGACTTGTGGCTCACAAGAATCAATACTGCAAGCAGTTCCCTAAACCCAGCTTTGAGAATTGTAATCTGGATACACCTTGCCCTGGCAGGCAAAGAAAAAACATTAATGCAACGTTTTAAAAATGTAGGAAAATTGGGTGAATGATGCATGTTGTAAAAAATTGAAAGCTTTTAAAAAAGTTCTGACCTATACTCCCTTGTCTACACCACCCTGCCTACCAAAAATCAAACCTTCTCAAAATCATTTTGGTCATTTGGCAGTGCATGATAGTATGATATTTAATTCATAGAGTGGATGTTAGAGCTGCTATAGCCATGCTCTCCAAGCCTTCCACTGCCAAAAGGAAGCCTGAGGATCCTAGGAACTTGGAACAACATCTCAGATTTGTTTTTGAGTGGTACTGTTTCTGCGAAACGAGCCAGGAGCATTTTCAGTGATGCTATTCATGCAAATGCAGACCATGTGGCTGACCTCAATGTGGCAGATGACAAAAATGTACATCGCAACTTGTTGAGGAAGATGGCCAAGAAGGTGAAATGGCCAAAGCCATATACAGCCAAGATTGCCATGTGCGACCCAGAGACACAAACTACATCAAAGAAGTCCTTGGCCATCATGTTGCCACATGAATTGCAATGGGCTGTATTGAAATGGAATCAAGGCCTTGACGCAAGGGGCAGGCTTTTGAACTGGCAAAGCGTCAGAGCAGATGTGAGGCAGAGGGTGGCCTCCTCAGTGGAGACCCTGAGATTGAACCCAGAAGCTTTAATGATTTGGGGCCTCTGGATCGATGGTGCGCCAGTGAAGTACGACAGATCTGAGAGTCTAGAGATGTTTTCCTTGAACCTGCCTCATCTCAACCAGACAGCTGCATCCACAATGAGATTTCCAGTGACACGCATCAATAAGATTTTTGCCAGCAAGGATGGGCAAACCGCGCATGACATTATGGCTGTGACGCAGTGGTCCTTTCATTGTATGGCCGAAGGATGTTTCCCACAAGTGGATCACACAGGTGCACCCCTGCAAGATGCATGGAGAAAAAATGGCAGGCCAGTCCCTGGGAGCTCAGGGTCTGTTGGCTGAAGTTAGAGGGGACTGGGCCATGTTGAAGCAAACCTTCCACTTTCCATCCTGGAGCTCAGCAGGACATTGCTGCTACAAGTGCAAGTGTTCACTTGACCAGATCAGGTCTTGCTCGACAAGTTTCGAGCTGCAGCAACATATCCTGCAGAAAAAGAATCTTGTGAGCCCTTTAATGGCTTGCCCAGGAGTAGGCTTGTCCACCTTTGAGGTGGACTGGCTGCATGCCTGTGATTTGGGAGTAGGAGCAGATTTATTTGGCAACCTGTTGTTCCTGGTTTGCAAGCACAACAGTGGGTCTACAGAGGAGCAGCGAGTTGCAAGTGTTTGGAGAGACATCAAGCAGTGGTATGTCCAGAACCAAGTTGCCAACCAGTTCCAAAGCATCGCCAAGCTCATGATTAGAAAGAAAGCTTCTTCCAGCCCTAAACTTCGAGGCAAGGCTGCTGAAATTCGATCTTTGATTCCATGGGCTGTGGATATTACAGAGCGATTATTTGGCGATGCTGATCCCTCCTCAGAGGAGGGCACATGCAGATTGGCAGCCCAGCATCTCAACACTGGCTATGGCCAGCTCTCTACTGCCACCTTCAATCCTGAGATTTTATCTTACGCTTGCAGAAAATTTCTTTTGTTGTACACAGCACTTGAAGTGCATGGTCAGGAATCATGTCGCTGGAGGTTTAAACCGAAGTTCCACCTCTGGCAACACCTCTGCGAGTCCACAGAGAGTGCACCCAGCCTCTACTGGACCTACGATGACGAGGATTGGGGTGGCACTGTGGGCAAGATGAGTGTGAGGCGAGGTGGTAAGAATCAAGCATTCACTCTTTCTGCAAATGTCTTGACAAAATTTCGAGCACAGAACAAGATCCCAGAATTCTGATTCTTTGCAGCTTTCACTTGATTTGTTATTTTGTGCATTTTTTCATGTACATGCATGCGTGCAGAGGGGTGTATAGGTATACATAGGTTTAGTCTTAGGACATGCGTGGGGTTCATGTGCCAGATTTAGAGGGCCAGCAGGATCAGATGGAGATCTGTCAAAACTTGTCCCACCTATTGTCTCACCCTATGCATGCAATGCAGGTCCGAGAAAAATGTGCTTTGCTTGCAGTAGGCCAGGACATCATGTGCCTGCAAGGCTTGCCAGGAACTTTGTGCCATGATATGGGCTGGCAAATCCATGCAGCAAACATTTTTGGTGAGATCCATGGATGCTAATGCTGCGCATGATGATATTTTTACAATTTTTGAGACCAAATTTAAGCAAGAATTTTCGTTTTATGTTACAATAATTATTAGTTAAAATTGCTAAAATTCTTTCTAATTAAGGAATAATAATCCTTAAAATTGGTGCTTAAATTAAATAAGGAATAATGGAAGATCTGGGTGATCTCCAGCTGGTGGAACCGGACAAAGTCGTAACACTTTTCCAGCCTCTGTAAGTAATCTCTCATGGTCGGGCTCCAGGATGGAGCCTCCCCCCAAGTGGCCCTCAGCCTGTGAGCAAATTTCCGCTCGCTGTCGTGTTCGTCGCTTGCGCTGACGCGAGCCTCTTTAGCCCGGCACTCCGTGGGGGTTTCGACTCCACTGCTGTTGACTTGGAACGACTGCGTGACTTCCGCTTCCTGGAAAGAACTTCCTCGTGATCGGGGCTTTTCATCCTGTTGTTGGACTTTGAAACCTCGCTCTTTGTGAAAACTGTCACCGTTCTCGTTCCCCCAGCTGCTGTCTTGGCTTTTGCCAGTGGGAAAAGAGATTCTGGCGCGGAAAGCACCATCTGCTCGATTTGTCTGTAACATTACTTTCGGATGGAATCCGCATAACACGTAAGCGAATTCCTGCGGCTAGGCAATGCGCAGAGATACGCCTGATGATTCTGAGTATTCCGTAGTTTGAGCATCTCCCCTTTGGGATAGCCAAAACGACTCCAAGGTTATCATTGAGCACGGTGACGCGCTTGCCATGCCTTTGTGCGTCCCTGCTCCGGTGTTTTACTACCCCCAAAACGCTACGAGCCTCCAGCACATGTGTGGCACCCTTCCACCCTCACACGGCTTGCCCACAGCACACGCCATCTGTCTGGCGCCAACAGATCACTCCTGACTTCTGGGAAGCTGGGATCCTCTCACATAAGTCTCCGAAGAGCTCCCCTTCGATCTCGGGCCGGACCGTCAAAGGATCCTCGAAAACCAGACTATAGTGTCAAGCGCAGCGGCACGTGGGGCAACACGAGCAGGTGGTCCTCGATAGAACCTCCATCGTTCATCTTCTCGCCCCACCTCTGCCGACTCAGAAGGATCTGCGCAGAGCGCATGCCCATCCCAGGTCGCAAAGATGTCAGCCTGGCCCAGTGGCATCAAACACTGGAAAAGCTCAAGCTCAAGGACCACACTTCTCCACGGACGCCTTCGCTGATGATCATGGGTCTGTACGAAAACGTAGCTGCGGCGAAGTATCCCCATGAGACCGTCATGTGCCCAATGATTGCCTCAAGTTCCTGCCCTGACATGGCTGGCGCTGCCTTACATGCCAGCAGCGCCCTATCAAGTCTCCAATCTCGATGAGGGTATGCCTGTACTTTTCCACACAATCCATCGACTCTCACACCCAAGCTCTGGACAAACTGCAACCAATCACAGTATGTGTGTCAAGCCCATCCACCTGCATCTGCTCCTAGCACAGGCGGGGGCCGCGGGGGCCTCCGATCCCGCATCACCGGCACCGCATCGAGAACCCGGGCAACAACAACATGAGCTTCATGAGGACAAGCCCACGAGAACCCCGTCGGAAGAACTCTCAGACAGGGATATAGCCGAGAGCCAGACACATCCATCAACTGCTTGAGCTCCTTTGGTAGGCTTCCACGTACCTGCTGAAGCAATGCTGGGTCAATGGCTGGAAGTGCAAAGTACTCTCCAAGCTTTTTGTCAACACCCAAACAATAGAAATAATCCTTCACATCTTCTTGCGCAAAGAGAGGGGCACCTGCGCCAACCTCCATCCTTGTCCCCGACTCCACTCCACGGATCCCAAGCTCGTAGACGGTGGAGTCCTGAAAAGACGGTTTGCACGACGGGCGTCAATGATGAGTCTCTGCTTCTGCTGCTTTTTGGTGACGACAAAAACCCCAACTTGCACTTGCGGCTTGTCAGTGAAAACAGGAGATTGCAATCAACCATGTCGGAGATGGACTCGTGATACTTAATGGGATTGTGAGCGAGCAATGGATCCAAGTAGCACTCACCCTCCAAACCTACCTCTAGGACAGCCCCTGCTTCCTCTGCGCTGAGAAGCATCTCCTGCTCGAAATTTTCACGTCGCTGACGTTCTTGCTGAGGAAATATATCCGCCAAAATGGCGGGGGTCTCCTGTCCTCAAGGCAGAGACAAACGACTGCGGTCATAAGAAGCTATCTGCCCCGGCTCGTCTCCACCATAGGATGTCCCCGCCTTCTCGTGGCCTCTCTCTATGAGCACACCGGACATGCTGCAAAGCCTTAAGCTCTGCTGAATTCAAAGGTGCCGATGGCCATGTCGACGGATCGGCAAAACCAGAAGCGCCCAAACTGTCCCCATCTCCCGCTCCACCAGTGTCCTTCGCCAGTGGACCCTTTGACGGGCAAAAGGCAACGGAAAAAGATCCCCAAATCTCGCGGATGGTTGCTTGGAAAACTGATCGGTGCTAACAGCAAAGTGAGCCTCAGCCTGGGCACCCTCCAGGCCAAGACCCATCCGTGTGTCGTTGTTCTTCTGCCGCCAGACGTGTCTGCTGGAGGACTTCCGCTCTAGCCGCCTGCCTCTTAGCTGCATGCTGTGTCAAAGCAGGGTCCACGATGATACCGCGGCCTCTCGCACTCCAGGTACTCTTCGGCTGCCTCGTAGGACGGCGCTTCCGGTCTCCCCTGATGCGCCACGTCGATCAAAGATCGCCTTCGATTTAAAGCTTCGGCTGAAGCCAGCGCTGCCAAGTTTAGTTGGTCATAACACAGCCTGAAGTTAAGAGCTCGGCAGATCGAGCTATGTTCATGAACACTTCGGTCTGTAGGCCGGACTCCACTCTTGCGAGTCCAACTCTCATGATGCTGGACCCAGTCAAAAACCAAGTCTGCGCAGCTGCTTCATGTCCCGGTAGATGGTACGTGGCCCACTCAGCGGGAAATCATCAAAGCCGATCTCTTCCACCTCTGGCATCGCTTCCAGCATCCGCCGGCGCTCATCGGCAGTGTCGTCATCACTGGCACGTTCTTCTTGGGGGCCTTCGGTTCATCTCCTCCCGATACCCCCCTGACAAGGCCGCTAAGGTGAGGAGCCCCTTCTGATGAGACCCCCTGTGCCAGCAAAACCGCACCATCGGGAGAACAGGCCCCCGGCTTGCATCTCCATGGACTTTTTTGGGAGGCTCCACCTGTTTGCTTTGCCAAGTAGGTGTCGTCTTCCCTCTAACCAGTCGGAAGACGGCCATTGCGCAGCCGCTTCAAATCATCGTATGGCTCCCCAATAGCCAGCTCTGTGACAAAGGTCTCCCGGTCCGGTGTGACCACTTGGGCCTTGTTCCCTTCTAGCCCCTTACGGACTACTCGGTGGTGGTAAAGATCAGGATCATCCACGTAGTGGACGAGCACGAGTCTAGCGGCAACCTGAGCGAGGCCATCCTGCTCCGGAGGCGTCGCCTCCTCTACTGACTTCCAGTGCTTGACACGCCCCTGCCTCCAAGACTGATATAGCCCAGAAAAAGCCCAATAGCCCTGAGGATCGCCGAAGCACCGCTCAGCAACCCCAAGAGAAAGGCCTCCTGAACACTGCAGCGGGGAATGTCTCTCAGTTGTGCCTTGTAAAATCTGTAAAACACTACCTCCGCCCCACAAGAAGCCTGAGTTCGTAACCTTTCAGTGCAGAGTTCTGGGCTTCGGCTTTCCAGAAAGAATGCTCCTCTTCGCGATGCCACCGTAACTCACGACCAGGACCCTTCAGATCTGAAGTGGAGTCTTGCCCCCAACACCGCAAAACTGAACCTCAGGGCTTCCACCAACAGTCCTTGTAACAGGCAGCGCCACTCGACCATGGAGAGAATCAACCTACCTGTCCAGATCCTTGAAGATTCAAGCAGCAGAAAAGCCCTTTCTTCATCAACTCTGCACAAGTGCTACCATGCTTTTTGCGGGCCCGTTGGTGGGTGCTTTCGTTGAAAGACACCTGAGAAAACTTACCCGAATGAACAGACCATAGCAGACCGGAGTCCTGGCATTCCTGCAGCGTGCCGCCCAGGACCTCAGAGAGGTCCTGAAAGGAAGGCGAAGAAAAAGAGAACATCACCTCTCTCTCCGAGTCTCCCTCCTTTCTCGGTTTTGATGAATAAAGGAGTGAACCCATTCTGTATAATCCCAACTCTCACCTTAAGTTTTATTAATTCCTTTCGTGCGGTCCATTTTCTTCCATGCAGATCTTGTCTCTTATTTCTTCTGCGGCCTCCGCGGCCGCTCCGGGCGCCAGGAGGTCTTCCACGAAGTCCAAGGTCTCAGACAGCTGCCTCTAAGCAATGCAAGAAGCAATGCACTTTGTGCAATGCACTTTGTTTGCACACTTTCAAGACTGGCCTCAAGTCGCGCTCTGTAGTCTCCATGGCCCTAGAAGCCCCGGTGCTCTACGTTACCCCACGCCGCTGTGATTTGCGTCTGCCAACCTCCAAAACTAGGCTCACTGGACTCAACAAAGCTCTATATGCTTACGGGCGCGGGGTGAGCGTGCAAATGAAGACCTGTTCTACTTCCTTTGCAAGACGTAGAAGTAGAAAATGAGACGTTTCTGGATTATGTCTCCTTCAGTCATGCGCATGCTGCACATGCTGCACTGCTGCGGCTGTCAAATGACAGGCAGCCTTCGGTATCACAAGAACTGGGCAAGTCGGGTTAGCGCGCAGCATGCTCTAAGAAGCTTTGGTGGCATCAAGTTTTTCGTACGTGATGAACTGCAGCCACTCCTTGGCACGGGATTTGCATGAGGCATCACTGACAGGCTTCGAAAGAGCCTCTGAGCCGAGGACGTCGACCAGCGTAAACGGGTTCCCCCACAAGCGGAAGTACTGCTCGAGGCTGCCGTAAAGCCTCAGCGAAAAGAAAAGGCTTAGGCTTTTCCTTTCATCTCCTTTCCCCCAACTCGTGGACCCGCTCGCCCGCTTGCCTTCCGCTGCTTCTGGCCGCCAGCTCGGCCTCCTCCACCGCCGGGAAAAGCTTGGGGAACTCGGCCACGGCCTAAGAGAAAGAACACAGGCTGCCAACCTTTTGCTGCAGAACTGAAATCATTTCACCGAAAACGGGTTTTACCAGGACATGGCGGAAATTCAATGGAATTGCGATTCCTCATCCTGGCACCCTGCCAGTGCGGTAGGGATAGCGTTTCTCGCTCTGGTGGAGGTTTTGAGATGGCGTTTTATTCTATTCCCCTCATAATTAGAATTGCTTGTTCTGGTTATAGCGTTGTTAATTGCCGAGTTGGGGCATGAGATTCTTGGCTGACCTGGGCGCAGAAGCTTTGGGCTTCTCTGCCTTGACTAGTATAACCGGGATGGACGTGCTTGCCCTCTCGCAAGGCCTGGCTGGCGTTGAAGCCTGGAACCATGGGCGCATGCAGTTGCATGCAAATTCAGCTTGGCTGTTCCAATTTGAAGCACCATAATATCTGGAAGCCTGCGCTGTAAAAGACAGACTGTGTCGCGTATGCGCTGGCTTTACGAGTGCCTTGGCCTGAAACTATTGATTTTGAGATGGCTTCTTCATGTTCGAAATGGCGCTTTTTCGAAATTGACGGAAAACCTGAGAGGCGGAACTCGGCGGCGAAATGGCGGCGAAATGGCGGAAATATCCGGAATGGCAATTTTGCAAATTTCCAAATGTCAATCTCAATTGGCATGCCTGAAACTGCTCGAAATTCTCTCCATGGCCGAGGGTGCATGAGCTTCAGATGGACAGCGGCAGCTCTCCATGATTGCTACTGCTTTTACAGCCCTGCCATTTCCAATCACGTGTGAAGTCCGCATCTTGAATGGCTAGAATGGCCAAACATTGCCAAACAGCTTCCCAGCAATGCTTCAAGCGCGCATGTTGTCTACATGATGTCGCCCAGCGAGCAGGAACAAAATGCCGAATAAGATGCAAGCATTGCAGCTGGAAATGACATGTCTGATCAAAGCCATGCCCTTTTTTTTGGGCCAGCCCCGCTTGCATTCATGGCGCTTCTGGCCTTTAAACCTTGAAACCCTGAAAATTGACACGTTGCACGTTCCTTCAATTCGGGGATCTGAAGCCTTTGAAGGGCCCGGGCTCGCTAGGAGAAAAAGGGTTTACTCACTTTGCAAAGTCGAGCATCCAGAGGGTTCTCGTCCGTGCCACGGTGGCCATGGAGACTGGCTATAAGGACACAACGGTCCTCTTTCTCGTAGATGTCGTTTGGCGGGAAAAGCACCCGATGAGGAATCCAGGGTGAAAACATCAGCACGTCCCCGGCCTTCACATCCGTGAACCTCCTGCGCTGGCCCCTGACCTCGAACTCCAAGGTCCCGACCCCTTTCTCCCGTGCACTTTCCAAGGGGATCCAGCAACGGACCACATCTTGCTCTTTCGCCAAAGCCGAGATGGCTCCCACATCTCGCAGGGCACCAGGGCGGTCATGAGGCTCAGCTCTTTACCCCGCCTGCCTGTATGGAGCTTGTCCCGATCAGTGAACCTTGTGAAAACAGAAAGCATGGTATCTGAAACAGTTTGTCATGTCAGCTCTGCAGTGCAGCTCTTTGTAGCTCAGTGTAGCTCAGTGTAGCTCAGAAGCGGAGGGCAGTGCGGGTTCACATTCAGCTGGTCCACAACAAGTCGCACCTCCGCACACCTTAGGCTTACGCCTCCGAGTTTGTTCACCAAAAAAGACACCACCCAAACAATTACAGCAACAGCGAAGCAACAGAGAGCATCTAAGCAGTATACGTAGAAGTGAATCACATGAACTTCTCACTGCAGATACACAAGGATTATCAATCCCTGCTTCCCATCAGAATGCAAGCTGTGTAGGGCACGGTTGGGAATGCTGGGGCTCCGCCGAACGAATGCATGCACCACTGCATTATGAACTCTGGTTGGGTTTTGGTACAGTTGCTAAAGCGCACACATACATGCTCACATTCATTGGTTTGAAGTAATGCTCAGACTTTTCTGCCGGAGGTTCATGCAATCTACCAGCGCTATTCCCTGCCGAGAAAATGCCTTAAGCTGTACGAGCAACCCGTAAAAAGTTCTTTCACTGTTCGAGTTGGCCGCCTTGCTGCCGAGATCAAGCCCTTATAGCACTGCAGGCACAAGCTGTACTTGAGAGCGGCTTAAAACACGAGCCATGATATGTCGATGTCGATCTTTGCATCCCAGGATCTGGAGGAGCTGAGCGGCAATTTTGGGCGCTTGGGAGTTGATCCAGAAGTCCAAGATCCGGTCGTTGGTGAGGAAGACCCCCGCCTGCACGTAGTCCATTGAAAAGAAGCTCCGCAGGCCCGTGACAAAGGAGGTCACCTTTCAAGTTAAGTGCCGCGGTTCACTCTGTCGCATGCTGGCTGCTTGCAGCTGCTTGCATCTTGCACCTTTTGAAGCTCTCGCTATGCTCTTGCTGCGCACCTGCGGGTTCTCCATCTGATGTTGCACCACGGACCTCAAGTAGGGCACCTGAGCAAGAGAGGAAGAGAGAAAGGGTTTGAGGCCCTGCTTGTCGAGTCGAAGCACCCAGTTTTTCAGGACGCCCCGGAGCAAGACCACGCCATCCTCCTGAAACTCCGTAACCTCAGAAGTGTGTAAGAAGAATCCAAGAAAACCACGACAGTACCCCTCTCCACAGCACCACAGCACAATTAAACCAGGTGCCTTTTCTTTCTTCAGGATGATGGTCTCCTCCTCTTCAGCCTCTTCAGGTTTCAGGATCATGGGCTGCTGCAGACCGGTCGTCCAGCGACGGACGTCCAGGCTGCGCCAGAAGCGCGTTTGGCGGCCGAACACCAAAGCTTTGGAAGCTGTACTGGCATTACTTGACTCCTCTTCGGCCCTTGCCGCAATTGCCGCAAGACGTCCTTCAAACGGACGTCCGTGTGTACGCTTTTGAGCATGTCGCGCTGAGAGAAGAACAGCGAGACCACAGAAGACACCGAGGCTGCCCGAGAGGTTGCAGATGGTTGAACGGATGTCAGGGTGAACATCTCGCAGAGCTTCAAAGCTCCTCAAACCTCGCCGTGTCACTGGTCGAAACCGCAAGGGACACGAGGCACAGGAGACATAGGACACAGATGGCACAGGCTCCATCTGCTTCAGACATCTGAGAGCCAGATATTCGGCAGGCGGATTCAAAAGACACTCGCACCCTTGCACCGACACCTCTCTTTTCTTTCTCCAGGCTTCACCTCTTCAGTAAGGCCTTTGGAGGAGGTTTCGGAGTGTTTGGGACGTGTTTTGCCGCGCCGTGCACCAGCGGCGGTAGCCTCCTGCGTTGAAGTGGATGATCAACTGGATCCAGGCCTTCCGCCCCTCTGCCCTGCACACACAGACACACACACAGACACCAAGTATGCAAGGGCCCTGGAAAGCAGCGGAATCTGCGTCTTAACTGAGTCTTGGCCGCACCTCGTGACCAAGTGTTGAATCACCTTTGCGTTGTCTGCTTCGGAGAAGCCTTGAAAGAAGTTGATCCTAACTCTTCTGGCTACTGTAAGTTTTCACAAACGCCGCCTGGCCTGCAAAGAGCTTGTAGTGCGGAAGCAAAGGACCAAAGTGGGGGTCCTTGCCTGTGAAATAAAAGCAGAACTCTTCCAAGGGCCCCAAAACCAGTTGCTGGCCCGCAGGGCTTAGAGGGCAAAACTCTTTGAGATCCTCCACAAAGAGCTTGGATGCATCCATGAAGCGTATCTTGCTCTTGAGGTGCACATTGGAGGCGGTGGCATGGTGCACAGTGTCTGTGAGAATGCCATGCGTTAGGAACATACCAGCATAGGCTACAAGTGGGCTGTAGATCCCCCATCTCACCACTTTTGCTGCTCCGCTTTCATGTTCTACATGTTTGCGGATATAGTTTAAGATGTAGTTCATCTGAAGCTGCTCAAAATTTACAGGCTCCGCATCTGGAAGGAGCCTTGCCAGGACTTCCTGGGCTTGAAGCCTGGCCACCAAAGCGTGCAGAAAGGAACCCACCCGGCTAAGTCGGCTAAGTGCCTCTTGCCCTTCCCGGCCCCCAAAGACCAAGACTCCACTGTTCACCTGCTGGAGACGCCGGTCTCCAAAGGCAGCCTGCTGCAGAAAGCACACATCCGCACCCGCAGTACCCACAGCTGCAGCCCCTTCTTCCTCCTCTTCTTTAGCTTCTTTCGGCTCTAGGCAGCGACGCAGGGTGTCGGTCCAGCCCGGAAAAACCTGCACGTCCAGGTCCATGACCACCATCATGGCCCCCTTGGAAGTGGAAGTATCCGTCACCGTCACAGCCTCCAGCAACGCCTCGAAGAGGAAGAGGAACTTGGCGTAGTTAAAATAAAAGATCTTCAGGCTGGGCGAAGCCTCTCCCATTAAGATGAAGCCTTCTTTTCGAGTGTCCTTCATATCTGGAACCCAGTGCACATGAACCAGGCAGGGCTCTCCAGCAGCTTCAAGTGAAGCAAGCAACCTGGAAAGAGTCGAAGTATAACTTGCTGACGCCATGAGCCAAAGCACTGGCACGTCCTCAACATCCTCGCGCCCAAGTCCAAGCTGCTCGGTCAGCTGTCCAGTTCTTGGGAAATTTATCACCTTCGAGTCTCGGAAGTGATCCTGCATCCAGCTTTGCACGTAGCCAAAATGCCAGCATGCTCGGAACGCACTTCGATTCACATCTTGCCAGCTGACCAACACGAGCCGAGACTCCTGAAAGCGCAAAGCCTCCCAGAACAGAAATCCTCTTCAGCCTTCTGCGAACCAACAAAAACACAAAAAACAACAACAGCTTCTGAATGGTCCTCTATGACTCTATGAGGGGGAACTGCTGGGGTAAAGCCAGGCACTGTTTCATTTTTTTTGCAAGCATGCTATCCAAGAATGGCCAGTGGGCTCGTCTTCCCCTTTTCTCTACATTGCAGACTTCCAAAGTACTATATCCAGAATCGGTTCGCTTTAAATTGGAACCAAGAGCGAGCCTGAGCAAACATTCGTGATCGGAAAACGAAGGACAAGCCCTCATGGACAACACGAGAACCTGACTCCAAGAGAGGAAGTACTGAAGTACCATGGGCAACACCTCAAGTGGGAGAGGCAACGACAACTGGCGTGAAATCCCCAACAGAAAACGATCTGAACCAGAATGGCTATATTTCTTCTATGTTTTCTTCCGCTCTCCGGCCCTCCCCCTCTCCTGCACAGCCAGGTAGCGCTTGGTGCGCCCTGTGCGCAACCAAAAGCAGGGCTCGCTGCGAAGTGCCGCATGGCTCTCACCAGCGTGGCGGATCTCCCAGTTCGCCCAATTTTCGCCACAGCTCACAGACAGCCGCACAGGAAGACCATCGCCTCAAGGCCGTGGCTTAGGCCGTGGAAGTGGCGTTGGGCGCTGGGCTACGTTGCATATTGTGATTCTCCAACTACTAGGTCACACGCAAGCTGACTGTGAA